TTATGGCATAAAACTGAAAGATCACCTCCCCACTTTTTCTTTTTGACATTTTCCCTTGCCCTGCCCCACTTATTTCCTACTATTCCCCTGACCCCACCACTCTTGGGACTTCCAGAGTGTAAAAACTCTTTCATCTTGCCTACCCCAGCTCGAAGAGCAAAATACTTTATGAAATTAAGAGAGCATTTGGGATTTTAAACTTGATTTTATCTTTTCATTCAACCAGGGGGTTATGTGTGTAGGAGATGCACTTGCCAACTAAAAGCAATTTCTCTGCCTCCTTGGGGACTGAAGTGTAATCGTAGCTCTGTCTTTCTGGTGTCAGGATGAAACTTGCATTTTCCTGAGTGGTGTCAGCATACTGACAGACAGCTCCGGGGATCTGTAGAAGAGTACTGGAAAAGAACCAGCAGGAGGGCAAGAGATCTGGAGACTAGTCTGGGCTGCTGTCTCCTCCCTGGGGTGACTCTGGGCTAGTCACTTACTTTACCTCGCTTTTCTGACAACAGAAAAGGCACTAATATCCTCTCATTGCCCCTTTACAGTGACGGTGCTAGGCTAGGACTTCCGTCAGGCTTTGGTGATATGAGCATGTTTGGAAAGTAATAGAGCTATAGACTAAAAAAAAAAAAAAAAAAAAAGTGCTATAGAAGCCACATGTCCTAAGGATGTCGTTAAATAGTTGGAAAGGAACTTGCAGCTCTCTTTGTCCAATTCTATTTCAGAAATGAGGACAATGGGGCTGTTTTGAGGTTCACTGACACCCCCTCAAAGCAACCCTCTGGTTTCAGTGATCAGTTCCCCATGAGCCTGAGCTCCCCAAACAGAACAGAGTGAACAGAGTGATTGGGTCTGCGAGTCCTGGGACTTGGAGTCTGCTTTAGAGAGTGTTTAGGACTTCCGAGAAGGAGGTGTTGGCAGGTAGGATTGCTCATCTGACAATTCCCTCTATGGGCTAAGGGGTTTGTTTGAATTACTCCCGAAAATGCGGACATGTTCACAACAACCTGTGCGCAAAGGTGGCCAGGAAAGCTGAGACTCTCCTCCCTCCATAGTTTGAAGAGTAGAAGTCTGAGGTGTAGGTTTAGCAGCAGACACCCTCACGTTTACCCAGCCGGTTAGATAGCATGTCCAGCCTCACCCTCGATACTTTTTCTTAAAATGCCATGCTTTTTTCACTGTGCTTTAGTTGCTTCCTTCCCAGGGCCTGGAACCCAATAGGAAGGAAGTACTATGTCAACATATGCACAAGGATGTCTAGAAAGTCCACTTGGATGGCCTGTATGCTGATTTTAAACATATGTAGACCCCAACAGGAGTTAAGTTTCAAGATTTGTTCAATTTCCTGTGCTATGTGTTTGCCCATGTACCCAAAGGAAGTAGTCTGAGGTTAAAGTGGTCAATTTCCCCAGATTGCTGTCCACTTGTGGTTTCTGGCTAGGCTGTAGTGGAAAGAGGTGGTTGGCACCTTGCAAGGAAGGACTACTTTCTTCCCTATTAGAGGTCCCCTAATACTGGTAGGCATAACATCTCACACAGGGAGCCTGTGAAAAATGTTGCATTTTGGTCTCTAAGCCTAGAAATTCTTGTTCAGTAGGACTGCAGTGGGAGCAGGAATCTGCATTGTTATGGCACATCCAAGGTGATTTTGATGCACCTAATTCAATAGACCATATCTCTGGAAACAGTGATCCATGACAAGATTTAAAGGGATTTGGTTCTTAGAGTTCTTTTTAATTAGCAAAGGTTTTCTTGGCTGCCAAGAACTTTTAGGGTGTTTTTTTGAAGGGGGTATAAATGATAGGAAGGCTTCAAGTCTTCCTTCTCAAGGTCAACAAGCCCCCAGACTGAAGTCATTATTGCGACTGAAGACTCTAGGGCAGACAGGAACCTATGCTAGCAGCAGATGACTTGCTTGGCTCGTAATTGGGATTACAATGGGAGACTTTTAAAAAGCTGCAAGCTGTGCAACTCTATGGCTTGAACTGTAAAGAGTGAAAACAAAGATGCCCAGGGTTCCCTTGGTGAGTGTACACCTGGGGATGAGGAATTGCAGATCCAGGCTAGGAACCTGCTGTTTGCTCAAGGATCCCTGCATGCTTGCAACCCGTGGTGTGGCCATACAGAGAAAAGAAACTCTGCATTTCACTTAGACACCAACTTCCTCAATTTTTCCTGGATCATCAAGTGCCTTGTATCATTAATATATCATCCACCTGCAGATCCTGGGCATCCCCTGTCCAGCCCAATCCTTGATTGAGCAGAGATAAGGTTCCAAGTTTTCTTCTATAAGTACGAATTCCTAACTCCAAAAAATCATATGGGTTGATTAAAGAAAAATTAGAAAATGATAAATTTGAAAATAATAAAATAGTTAAAAATTACCTATAATTGTGTTGCTGAAATAAATCACAAGAACGTAGTGGGTTTATTTTTAGCCTTTCTTTCTTTCTATGTCTAGGCTCTTATTTATATCCACCATTTATGTTATAGTTTTTCTACATTTTGAATCCTGCCTTTTTATTTAAACATACAACTAGGGTATTTTCAGGTTATTATATACCTTCCAAATTATATATTTAAAAGTAACAGCATAATAGTCAATGGACTGAATCAGTCTTACTTACTGCCACTTACAGAACATTTGATAAATACTGGTTGAGTGGATTAATAGACAAAAGGATGAATGCAAGCTCCTATTATGTGATCAACATTTTCAGAGAGAACTTAACACTAAGTAACTGAGTGGCAGTGTAGGCTGGCCAAAGAAAGGCAAATATGGAAACTGTTAGTTTTGGTCCCTAGTCTTTCATTTTGAAAATATTTTTATTTCTCTCCTCCTCCCCCCCCACCCCCCAATCAGCATAGATGCTTTAGTTTTTCTGGGTCTGATTTATAACTAGTACCGCTGTCAGTTAACAGCTGAAAGAACTGAGCATCAAAGAAGTCAAATAACTCACCCAAAATTGCATAGCTAGGAGATAGCAGAACAGGCCTTCTGAGCCACATCTGTGGGCATACTTAGCGTAATTTCTCCATCACATCACACCTAACAGCAAAAGATACCAAATACGGGATTGTCAGGATTGTTGCTCAGGTAGGGTTAACCTGAAAGCAGAAAGATTCCAGTTAGCTAGGATCCTGGGGTTGAACTGGGTAGGCAGGCAGCCTTTGTACCCAGAGGGGGCCAGAGAGCAGCTCATTCAGTTGCAGGGGGAAGGGTTGGGCAATGAAACACAGGACTCCATTATGAATGAAACGCAGGAAGCCATTACAGAAGTTAGTGCTGGATGCGCTCAAGGCAAGAGACAAGGCTGAGATTTCCATACCCATAACCTGAAGCTGGATATTTCTAGATGTCAGTCTTGTTTGGCTTGGATGACTGGGTATTTGAACAGAGGGGATTGGTGAAAGAGCAGGTCTGGTCAATGTTTGTTGTTCTTGATTGCTTATAGAAAATAGAGAAAAATGGAAATGACTGAGAAATTGGTACAAAGGCAGAGTGGTTCCCAGAAAGGAAAGAAACTGGACAGAAGTCCTTCAGATTGTGGCTCTACTTGGCTAAGAACTGCGTGACAAGGTATGGGCAATTTTTTCCATTTTATGCACCCCTCCTGCTGCATTAATGTTAATATCAGTGGTTAGCAAAGCAAATGCAGTAACTGCTCTCCCTAAAGGACTCATGATTGCAGCGTCCGCCCCTGGCCGTTGGAAGAGAATTTTCCATATTTCTTTCTACATTCTTGCTAGCATTTTGATGGACAGAGTTCTGTTTTCCCGGTGGAGAAAAACAAGGCGCAGAGTCATGTCTACAGCTGCCATTGGAGAATTGGGGGAGAAATTAATTTGGACCCCTGGGCTTGAAGAGAAAAAAGAAATTTCACATAGAAGACTGTCCAACCCACTGTGTTCCAACTCTGGTGTCTGCTTCTAGGCCAGGACCGGGGAGTGGAGGAGAGTAGGGCTGAGGTACCACCACCAGAAGCCCCAAACACTGAACTTGCCCTAGCCTGTGCTCTCATATGTATTTAAAATGCAAAAATGCACAGCCATGAAAAAAAGTGCAAGGAGAACCAGCCCAGTACCACCCCCCCCCATTGAAACATCAAGTATCAAGTTGTTTCTAAAAATCAATGTGGGTGCCCCCTCCATGCTAGTATCCTGACAGACGCACGGCTGTGGAAGGGTAGCATCTGGGGAGAGGGCACCCCGACATTATACCTGTCCTTTTGTCTCGATTGGGAGCCAGCCTTCTGCAAACAGAAGTTCCCGGGCCAGAGAACATCTCCCTCTTTCTTGGGGGAAGGGAAAGGGGATTCCCAGGCTACAAAATTCATCTCCCATTCCAGGCTCTTGGAAGGGCAAACAAATCACTGCTCCTACTCCCACTTGCGGGCCTGTAGAACTGAGCCCTGACTTAAAAATCCAATCTGCAGCTACCCTGAAGGCTGAAGGGATTCCTCCCAAACACTGGCCTTAGCGGTGGGGGTGGGAAGGTTCCCAAGGCCTGAGCCAGTGCCTCCCGTTCACATTCCACGATTCCTGGAGCAAACAGCGCTTCCCGCTTGGATCGGGCTAAGATGAAGTCTTCGCTAAACCGTGGGAGTTTCCTAGAGCTGGGGTATAGTTTCTCCTTCAGATCTGTGCCTCCCTGCGACAGGTGCACCACCTTGCCCTCAAATTCTATCTTCTGGGGACAGACCCGCTTCCCTGCGTCGTGTTAAGGGTGACTTGGGAGAGCGGGGACCTACCCTCCCTCTCGGTTTCAGGTCTCATCGGGGCTGAGATGGCGTCTCCCCTCAGACTCTGGGCTCCCTGGGGTAGGGGCAGGAGCAGGGTCCCGCCCTCACAGCCAGAGCTTCTCCGGACAGTAGCTGTGTATTGGCCTCCCTGTGCGTGGGAGAAGGGGCTGAGGGACTAGCGGCCTCCCCTCTGGCGGGAGGGGGCTCCCCTGAGGCCCTGCCCCTTTCATGACATGCTGGAGGTGTCCGGTGACCAAGACACTCCTAGCTGGGTGCAGGGTGCGGCCCAGGGCGTGGTCACCGGGGGGGGGGGTACTTAGGGCTGGCTGGTGCGAGGGCCGGGCCGGCGCGGAGCTTTAGCTGCGAAGCTGCTGGGCACTCAGCGCGGGTCATGGCGTGGATCCTGGACTGCCTTTTTGCGTCGGCCTTTGAGCCACGTCCGCGGCGTGGTGAGTGGGGCCCACCGAGGCGGGGGGCTGCGGGGGCTTGTCCGGGAGCGGGAACGGAGGTGGGGGTAGGCAAACGGCGGCTGCAGCCCCGGCTGGGTGCCCTAGGGCTTGGCACGCCGCCCACGTTGCCTCCCTTGCCGCTGGCTTTTAGCTAATTGTTCCGGGCTCAAGGGACTGCCCCGTCGAGGCCCCGCATAAATCACCAGCTTTGCCGGGAACCAGCGAGCAATCGCGCTAATGGCAAGGTGGGACGCAGGCGAGCGCGGGGGCGGAGTCGCTGGCTCAAACTCCTGCGGGGACAGCCAGAGCTTCGGGGCTAGAAGCACAGGAGCGATGGCCTGCCATAGGGAATCCCGAAAGGCCTATAGATGAAAGTCCCTGGCTGTCCAATCCGGCCAGTCTGAGGCCAAGGATTCTGAAGATAAAGCTGGGGGGTTTCGTTTGCGCTGTTCCAATCTCGACCACGGCTAGAGCGTGGGCAGTTTATGGTCGTCGAAATTCAAACCCTTCATGTAAGAGATAGTGACACAGAAACCCAAAGATGGGAAAGGCCTGGTCAAGGTCATCCAAGGAGTTGGCAGAAAAAGTGGGTAGGCTTAGGTTCTGCGCTAACTGTCCATTGTCCCAGACTTTCTGACAGAGGAGGCCTGGGCTCTCTGGTCCTTATTTTCCCTTGGGTACTTAAGACCAATGCTTGGTTTCTCTATGCCTTTGTGGAGATCACAACCTGGGGGTAAGTATGTGGGTGACATTTCATCCCTTTCTGGGAACTGCTTCTACAAAGTGGATTTTAGAAAACTTTTTTTCCTCCTTAAAGTTCCAGGGAACTTTAAGTTTCTTTTTAAGATTCCCTAGAATCCTCACCCACATTGTCCTTCACTCTCCCTTCGTAGGCCCCACCCCTTCTGGGCTGCCACCTGCCCCCATGCCACCTGTTTTTCCATAGTCTCCACCTCCAAAATCTATATTGGTGGAAGTGCGTCATTGGTCCACAGCCAGCAGTAGACTAAACCTGGGGTTGTCTCCTCTTTCCTCTGCCTCCTCATGGGTAGGAGTGGAGAAAGAGGGAGGCCAGGGCCTTGGGCCACTTAATTCAGCAGAGATCTCTTTTGCTTTCTTGCCAGCTCCATCACCCTGCGGAGACTCATCCCAGGAGTCTGACCTCCTGCTAGGGTACTGCAGTGTGCATGCTTAGCCAGTTCAGGTGCAATCCCTGGCAGGCCACAGGCTCTCAGCAGAGAGATCTGCATGAACACAGGCAGTTGATTTTTTTTTTTTTTTAATCTTTCATGCGGTTTTTCAGTTGATGTGATCTTGGTGAATTTGAAAATATCTGGGAATTTCATTAGGGATCTACTAAGGGCTGATGGATACTGTGCCTTTGAAAAGAGTATGGATGGAACTGCTGCACCCCTGCCTGGCCTGCAAGATTGTCCTGTGACTCCAAAGAGATATGAAGGCCCCTTGGTTAACAATCTCATGGGAAATAGTATGTAACACACCATGCAGCTTCATCTAAAAACAATGATGTTTAGTAGCATTTGAAAGCTTTTCACTTAACAGAGCTCAAATCTTTGTCCTGGGAACTTCTGAATCTGGCCTTGGCACTGACCTTCGTGACCATCCTTCCTAGGGAACAGTGTAGTCCCTCTCTATTCCTCCCACTCGCGTTTACTCCTATTCTTATCAAGGCCAGACCTCTCCAGCTACTTCATCTGTTTCACATGTGACGTCACTGTAAGGCCCCTACCGACATCTCACTGTTCTTCTTTGAACATGCTCCAAGTTATAAATGCCCAATGACCTGGCCAAAAGAAGATTTCCAGCTGTGCCCCTATAAATATAGTCCTGGAGGGCTGACTTTCCCTCTTTTGGAACCTATGCCACACCCCAAGTACACACATACATAGCCATAAATATACCCGTACATACACACCCCACTCTCATGCCACAAGCCACGTGCCAGGGAATAAACACACACACCACATGCCCCCTACACACACACACACACACACACACACACACACACACACACACACACACACTTTCTATGTGTCCTATTACCTTCTTCACACAACATAGTTTACTTACATATCACATGTATGTTCTACTCATAGATTTTACATTCATGTCACAGAACTCACACAAAGCATTTACTTATATTGGAATTATTTTCAATTAAGCCATTCTTTAAAAAAAAAGTAAGCTCTTTTATGAGTCTGCATTCAATATTAGTTTCTATTTGAACTGAGACTACTTTACAGTTACTGGTGTATTCCCAAGTCTGTGAACCCTGTTGCCTATATATCCTGAAGTTAAGAGAAGTTAATACAAGGGGACTTCTGAGAAAAGGAACCTGAAAGGTAAGTTAATTTTGTTTCCCCCAAATTCTTCAGATACATGCATAGTTCTCTCGTAAGGCACACCTCCATGACCTTCCTGTAGACTTGGATCTCTCTCTTTTTTTTTTTTTTTACTAAATGATCATGTGATTCCATTTTCCATGAACTTTGTGGCCAAAATGCTTCTCATATGATAGCCCCTCAGGCTCACAGTACATTACATATACAAGTTTACTTACTGAAGTCATATCAGATTGAAATAAATAATCCTTGAGTATAGAGGTTTTGACCAGATAAGAGCCCACTTCATCATCCTTTAAGAAATGCTATACAATGTGAGGGTAACATTAGGAGTAACTATTGTTCATTCCTGGGATTATAATCGCCCTGGGTGCCTCTTTTCATACTCCTTTTGTAACTCCTCAAGGGTTGGGACAAGAGTGTTAGCTGGATGCTAACTAGGCAGAATAGGGGAGATAACTGACATGTTTCTTCACCTCTATCCCTCTTATCCACAGGGACATTCTATCGTTGGCATGTCAGAGTAACCTGAGGGTCACAGTAGGTAACAGACAACCAATTGTGGGCATCTGGGGAGAGACATCCTTGGAGTCTGGGGCAAATGGGGTCCCAGAAAAACCATCTTTCCCAGGGAACAGGACAACATGTTTGGCCCACTTGAAATTCTCTCCCCAGTTCACACTTGGCATTGCATGTGGTCTCAAACAATTGGACTTCTGCAAAGCAGCCAAAATTTTACTGCTGAAGGGACCCTGGAGCCCACTTTACATACAAATTTGATCTTTTCTTAGAGATGGGACCCAATCAGTTTGCTGTAATCAGCCCTGGTTGAACTGTAGTAGGCATCAGTTTCTAGAGCTGAGGCAAGCTTGTCCATGAGACACCTCACTTGCTTGGTCAGGGTGTCAGGCAAACATCTCCCTTCAACAATTGGCAGAAGTTCCCCAAGTTCTTTTGTGAATGGCATGTTTGCACCTCAAATGACATTTCCCCATGAGAAACGGGCCAAGTTAGCTCGCACTTTCGGGATCATGAGGATGAACTGCAGAATCCACGTGCTTGAAACTGGTCAGAAAATTATCCTCTTGAAAATGTACCTCAGGTTCCAGCAATAGAGCTGACATTCACCAAGTTTAAATAGCAGGTGATGGAAGGCACATCGAGCATTGATAGGCCAGGACACCAGATCCTTGGGGATGACTATGAAAGTGAGGAAAGCAACATTGTTCCTTTGTTTTCATTCTTATCTATTAGGACAAGATAAATGCCCAACAATAGTAGAAATGTGAACTAATCCCTGTGACATATCCACTTGTTCCATAGTATGCAATCATTAAAAGGGTGTTTATGAAAACGCATAATAACAGGGAACATAATGTGATTATAACTATGTTAAACACACATTTTTTGAAAGGCTGGAAGAAAATTCATCAACAGGGTGAAGGTTAGAGATTTCTACCAAGCTGGTGGGGTAATAGTTATTTTTTTCTTTTTTTCCCCCGAAGTCTGTATATAAAGTTTGATCTCAAATTACTCTTATAATTTAAAAAGGGTTTTCAAGGTCTAATTGAGGATCCGTGATAAGTAAATAATCTATGTAATGCCCTAGATTTCCTCTATGCATAGTTTCATCTCAGGATTTTTTCTGTTCAAATTTGTTTAAATGTGTTGACTGAGTCAAGCAAACAACATCTTTCTAGTGCTCATGAAATGGGCCCCTCACTTTTGGGTAGAGAGGGAAGAAACACAATTGATTTGAACCTAGGTCCACTCTTACTGTGTTGCTATTAGCAAGTGACTTAACCACTCTCATGACTCTTATATCTCTTTTGTAAAAGATTTTATTTCTTTAAGTGAGATGGGAGGGGGAGGGAGAGAGGGAGAGAGAGAGAAAGATGGAGATCGATTTCTCATCTGTTGGTATACTCCCAAAATGGCCATAACAGCCAGGGATAGGCCAAGCCAAAATCAGGAACCAGGAAATTCATCTGGGTCTCCCACATGGCTAACAGAGACCCAGAATGTTAGAGCATCTCCTGCTGTCTTCCCAGGCACATTAGAAGAGGAGCAGCTGAATTTAGAACCAACACTCTGATATGAGACATAGCATTGCAAGTAACACTACCTACTGCACCACATGGTTAGTCCCTATTATATCTTTTAAAATGATGTCAAGAGACCTACATGTCTTGATTATTAATAATAATGATAATAGTTACTATTGCTGTAGATGTTGTTATATCAAATGTCTTCTATGGCTCAGGTGTCAGAAAGCATGTGCTCTATTTTCTCTCCAAATATTTATTATTTGTTACCATCAGTCATTTTACATAGTAAAGTATGACATTTAACTGTCATGACAACTTAGTGAGGTACTGTTTAAATATAAAGGCTCAGAGACGTTCAGTAACTTGCTTACTGTCACACAGTGGCTGAGCCAGGCTTTCAACCCCTTCAAGCTTCAGTGCAATCAAAAAAGATAATGTTCCTAGCATGATACGTCCTGCAGATCTATATAAGGAGGTCAGTGTGAATATGATGCTAGTAATCCCTTGCCCAAAGCCTCAGTTCCGATCTCTGTCTCATTTAATTATCTTTGACTTTCCTTTCTGCAAAACGGTGTGCATTTCAGGTAGG